AAAGCCACATTTAGCGGACAGCCACTCGTCTACAGGAAACACCACATTGATACAATCCGTATCTGACCGTTGCTGTAGCTCATCGTGAACGTGTGATGTTGTTGTAAAGCTCATTGTAAACAATCGAATTGTATTTCCTTTAACCGATAATGTTCTTTTGTGGGGAATCAAACCTTACGATACTGTTAAGCGCGACTGAATATATTCTCATAGAAGTCTGCGTAAATGTAAAATGTAAAAATCAAATTTCCCTCCGATCCTTTGTTCTGACACCGTAGGGACGTAAAGCGCATGTACAAGTACCCATATTTGGAAGCTTGAACAACTTTCTTATCCATATTTGGAAAACCGTTTCCAGGCCTTTTCTTCTTCGAATCTCTGTCTCGTGTAGTCTCCTCTCGCAGCTGTTCTTTGTTTCGGGATCCCTGTGTCTCCCTCCCCCGTGTCTCCCTCCCCATGATGGGAGGGAGACACAGGGATCCCGAGAAAAAGAACGGCCGCGAGAGGAGACTGTGTCTCGTGAAGCTTCTTTTCATTTTCGTCAGATGTCGTTTGTTGGTGTGACAGATAGAGCAAGGAGGATGGGCAAAAAAATATGAACGTTGAGAACTTCGAGCTTCGTAAACTGCAAAAAGATGGAGAGAGAATTCCAGGTTCAATATGATTTTATTAATGTGTTATTATGCTTCAAATAATTTATGAACTTAAAGAATCAATACATATTCTATAATCTCTCTTACAGTTATTATGAAGAAAAAAAGAACAAAAACAAGAGATTGTTCTCGTGTCCATGACAGTTTCTCTGCTTTCCCTATTACTTTATTATTTTTCTCTTTTTTCAACATTGTCGTGATCTGAGTCTTTAATCTTTAATCTTTAATCGAGATACTCCTGAAACAGTAATTACAAAGAATCAAATTTAAATAATTTATATACAGTTTAAGGTTTAACAATATAAGAAAAACAAAACTTGGATAAAACAAAATAATATAAATAGCATAAAGATAAAATTAGTACGGGCAAAACCGACCTAATAAATGAAACAGCATTTGATCTAAATCTATCTAAATTAACAATGTTAGAAGAGCATAGAGATATATTGTTCCACAAAACTACTGTCCTTGGATAAAAAGAATATTTATACATATCATTATTCACTTTCAATTGTTTGAAAGGACAACAGTTTGGAGCTCTTGATGGCCTTTCATTCGGTGTGACATCAGATGGGAGTGATATGCCAACGTGGCCCATATAGATTTTATAGAACATAGTGCCTTGTGAAAGAAGTCTTCGGTGATGGAGTGAGTCCCAGCCAAGACATGGATTCGAAGCAAAACATTCTGATGATGACTTAGTATAAAGTCACTTAAACCATCAAAATTAGCTTTTTTATAAATATAAGCTTTATGTGGAGGTTTAGTGGAACGAAGAGGTTTCAAGTTGATCTCGAAAATTAAAGCAAGATGATTGCTCCAGCCGGAAGACATAAATACATTAGAGACACTGTTTGGATAAGTAGATAGAAGTAGGTCGAGCGTTTTCCCAGATGCAGGTCTAGTTGGAGTATTCATTATTTAGCTCTAAAATTAGTTGAAGTCCTCTACATCTTTCCCTCCAGGGCACCTTTATTAATATTTTGCACTTGAAAGCTAATCGAAGCATGTCGAGGTTTGAATTTTTCCTGAAGTATATTTTGAAATCACTGAATTCCAATTGGACTTGGATGTGAACTCAGTACTTATTACTGTCCTATCAACGAGACAAAGAACACAAGACACAGGAAAATTACCAGAGGCCAGAGGAAAATTACCAGATTACTCCCGAAATCTCTTCTGCAATCTCCAGGCGTAACATACTTTTCAGCAAATTTAAGAGAAATGCAACTGATGACAACTGCAATCAATATAAGAAGCAGAGAAACCTTGTTACTACCTTAAAACGTAATTCTATGAAGTCTTTTTTTATCTAGGCTTCTGCTGAATGTACCCACCCTGGTGAATTTTGGAAAAAATTCAAGCCTTTGTTACCATCCAAAAGTACTCAACAACAACAAATACAACTCTTGGAGGAAGGTGGCTTGATTACAGACAACGTGGAAATAGGTAATATCTTTAACAAACATTTTATAGATGGTGTTGCTAATCATATTCCTATCTTACCCGAACATGCTCTTGTTAATCACCTTCGTGTCAATGAAATTAGTCATAGATGTAATCAACTGCAATTTTCCTTCCACCACGTTGAAGCGGGCTACGTAAAGAAACTGATAGATTCTCTGAATCCGAAAAAGGCCACTGGTCCGGATAAAATATCACCAAGGGTTATAACTGTTTCCTCTGAGGCATTGGCAGTACCACTCACCAACCTTATAAATCACTGCATAACCATCCACGCTTGACCAAGTTTGTGGAAACGCAGCAATGTGAGTCCTCTTTACAAGAAGGATAGTCCTACCGATAAGGCGAACTATCGTCCAGTGGCTTTACCGAAAGTGCAGTGAACCTTATTCGTTCTTATATGCATGATAGGCTGCAACGAGTTAAGATTGGTAATAATTACTCAGATTGGAAAACAATGCAACATGGTGTTCCTCAAGGATCAATATTGGGACCTCCACTATTCAACCTATTCATTAATGATCTCACTTATTTTGTCAAAGATGCTAAACTAAGGCTTTATGCTGATGATACGACACTGTATCTGTCACACCCTACTTAATATGCGTTACAGTTAAGATCTCAGAGAAAGTTCGATGTGCGGCAGTCATGGTTCAAGCGTAATTACTTAAATATAAACGAATCTAAAACTAAAGTATTGCCTTTGGGTGATAATCCGCCATGTTATGAATTGTTTGCTGACCGTACTAGGCCTCCCTTGAATGTGGTACACGATATGAAGTTATTAGGTCTAACTATTGACAGCTCCTTATCTTTTAAAGCCCACATTAAATCCGTGTGGTGTAATAAGGTTAATGCCAAAGTTAGTGCTCTTAGGAGAGTTCGTAAATTCATACCTTCAGAAGTGATGGTCAATATTTACAAGGCATTTATTTTGCCACACTTAGAGTACTGTGCTCCAGTCTTAGTTGGGTTATCGTCTGGCCTATCTAACAAACTGGAGCTCACTAATCAATATGCCATTAGAACTCTTTTAATCATGGCTAAGTCAAACTCATATAGTACCTTACTTGACCATGTGGGACTGAAGACCCTAAAGCATCGCAGATATTCTCATGCTCTCTGCCTCGTTTATAAATGCTTACATAACATGGGGCCGAATAATATTAGGGAGATGTTTTTATTTCGTAATAATAAATATGACCTCAAAGGCTTCTGCAAGCTTGATCAGCCTACTTATTCTAGCAGATTCATACATCACTACAAGATTATGGAATAATCTACCTGACTATGCAAGAAGAGCTCCTTCTCTTAATATTTTTAACTCAATGCTAGACGAGGTCAACTTGACAACCAGTGTGGAGTGTGGATGCAACTTTTGTACATAGCTTATTTTATCCCTAGTTTGTTCCCTCTTAGTTTTATTGATTCCTATTTATTTCCTATATATGCATGATTCCCATATGATTTTATAGTTTCCTTTTTATTACTATTATCATCATCATTGTCTAGCTTGTTATATATATTATTTTAACCTGGCACGTTCACATTAAAACGAGTTATACTCAATTGTGAAATGTGGATAAATAAAATTACTACTACTTCAACACTTCGACCCAAACACATTTTCTACAGGCAAACATGAGTATGGGAATATAAACAGTGAAATCGTTGAGATCATGTTACTAGAAGTCTCAAAAAGGGAAAGAAACAGCAGAACACAAAAACCAGATAATATGGATCAGGAGGGAACCCATTTTTTGTTGGGAAAGGGGTTGTGAGTTTTCAAAGCTACATATAGTAGATGACTTGAAACATTTTTAGCAAAGCATGAAATATCTGTTAGAGTCTTTCATGATCTAGATGTGATCAATCTGTCTCTGATTCTCCATCCATGAGAGGGTAATACTTTATTTGACAAACTGTTGATTCCCTGTCTTCTTCCAGTCTTCTCCTGTACGTTTTTTAATTACTTGAAATAACATATTAGTAACAATCCAGTCTAACAAAATGATAACTGTAACATTGGCTATTTCCACAATAAAGGGAGGTTAAACTTCAAATCATATAGCAGGTGTCATCATATAAAAAAATCCATCTTTTCATTTTCTAAACATTTTAACAACAGTTTCAATCACCATAAGACACAAAGTGTTAAGTTCACTGCAATGTTTAATTGTCATTCTTACAATTACTTAATTACATGGCACTTTATCATGTTTTGACAACCCACATAACTATAAATAAATACCATTCACTAAACAACCAAACTTAGAGAAGAAAAGGATATGATCTTGGTACAATGGGCAACTTTTAAAGTAAGACACTATTACCAACTTGCAATCCAGAAATTAAAAACACAGTCCAGGTATTTTATTCCTTTCAGTGACTACAATAATATAAGTATCAAAAGCTTGATCAAGAGTAATTTAGAATCGATATAATCTCAATGTTTGCAGAAAATTTCTTCCTTTTAATTGATTGGGCAAATTTTTCTATGATGAAAAAGAATTTTAATAAATTACCTGTTGATTGATCTTCATCTTTTTGGAGCAACCCTAACTTAAAGATACAGAAGAAAGGTATCGAAAATCTTCAACAGGCAAACATAATCAAGACTGGAGAGGACTTGCAGTGTATCCAGCTGAAAAAAAATTCTTAGCCCGAGGCGAGATATGTATAACTTAACCATGCTAAGATATATTGCATCTAAACTCACTACTGCAGTATCATAATCTCTTGCATGTAGACTGAAGTATACACATTTTAGTTTATTTACCACTCACATAATCATCTTATCTGTTACACTGCCACTGCTACATTTTTACAATCTGTAGTTGACCACTCAGTCAATTACACCACTAAAGAAACAAAGCTGTTATACTGCTGGATATTTCTCTTGAGGATGTCGATACAGGGACCCAGCACTCTTTCAAAACGCTGCCTGTCAAGTTTGACACACTTAAGGGTTCCTTTTGCCCGGACTGTTGCAGCACGAGGACGATTAAGAACCAGGGCAATTTCACCTACAATCAATAAAAGATGTGTACATTATAATTTGATGAGAGTATTTTGGAATAATGTGAGATACAGTAAGCTAGTGGTCAAATAGAAAGTCTGAGTTTAACCACAACCAAGTCACCGCATTGCATTCTTGGGCTGGAATATTACACTTACAATGCCTCTTGCAACCCAAGAGTACAAACAAGTGGCAGCAAACTGTTTACCACTTTACAACATATAATGTGAAAACTGTTCTTTATATATTTTCCATGGAAATAACAAAGAGAACATGTTTAATGATCAAGAGCTTCTTCAGTTACAATCACTTCCTTAACTCTTATGATTTTCAAGTTTGATTACATAGTAATGCCTTAAGGAGATATTAAATGCTAGTCAAGCCAAGGGCTTTGAGGGTTAAACCCTCCCACAATATGCATTCTGACTTAAAAGGGAACTTAACATCATTGCATTCCAGAAAAAAGGTGTCTGGAATTTACAACCTCTCCAGTACAAAATAATTTGAATATATCAACAAAGTTGAATTGGTAAATTGGCCACCGTTACGACGAAGGGCTAACACTCGAAACGTCAGCTTTTATAATTGTAACGGTGGCCAATTTACCATTTCAACTTTGTTGATAAATTCAAATTATTTCGTTACCCCCACCGATGCAGCCCCAAACAGTTTCTTTAGAAACTATCAGCCTCTCCAGTACAAGATTTATTCAAATGGTACACCCTCGACTTAACCCTTTAACCCCTAACAGCGACTAGCAGCTAATTTCTCCTTACAATATCACCCCTCAACCACACATTGAAGTCATGAGGATAAAGGAAATGATCAACAACTATAAAAGCATTTAATTGTTAAACTAATTCTCTTAGACAGCACCTTAAGGGATGTATAGAAAACAATATAGAGAATGATAGGGTGTACAACGTTAATGATTATATCTTTGTTGACTCTCTGTCTACTCCACCAAAAAAGTTATTTCCAATGGATTGTAAATTTCAAGTCACTTGTTGATCTACACATTCTACTTTCTAAATCATTTAATGGAGTACTGCTCTTACCAAAGTAGTCTGATTGTCCTAGCCGGCTGACCTCGATATAATCTTCATTTGGTGACCTCCGCTGCAGGACCACAGCTACCCCCTAGAAAAAAAAAAAAATACTGCAGACAATTGTTTCCTTCTCTTCAAAATGAAGAATGTTCCGTACATTATTTTCATGCGATACATTCTATGCTTTATGCACATTTTTGAAGTAATTCTCTTCACTAGTTGTTTTTAGTATGAATTATCTGTTTCTTTGCTGTTTCACTACCCTTTGGTTATTTTCATCTTTACATACTTTTTTTTTCTTTTTTGCAAAGCACTTTTTTAAATGACTATAACTATTCATCTAAGCACCTCATAAATGAATGACTAATCTATTGCTAGGTCATAACTTTAGTGCAAAAGAAAGGAATGTCTTCTCTTACATTATTTAAAGTATCATTGACAGTGAAAGAAAGACACTGATCTAACTGTTGTTACAACTAAAAAAAAAATTTATATATATATATAACTAACTGCAGACAGTACTGTTTTGGCCTTCTGGGCCTCATCAGTGCAGTGTTGATGCTAGGATGGAGGGTCACCCCAAACGACCCAACATTTGTGGTATCGTTTAAGCCATGCCAGAGTGCTTAAACTACAATAAACTAGTGAGCATGTGCAATTGCAACAGCAATGACTCACCCTTGGTAGAGTGCTCAATTTGGACATGAAAGCAAAGCTTTGTATGCCAAAGAGCTATATTTAACAATTATTTGCCTCAGGTATGGTGAATATTGTTGAATAATCCCCTCGACTTCACCTCAAAACAACTGGCTGACAAAAAAAGTAGTGCATTGTAAATACTAGAGAAAAGTCTTACATCAACAATAATGTAAAATTCATCCCCATGCTCTCCTTGGACTACAACATTTTCATTATCCTCATAAGTAACTGCTTCCAGTGCATCAGCCACTGTGAGACGTTCCCATTTATCAAGGGATTCAAGAATACTGACTTTCTCCAGGAACTGTTCATACATTTTTCTCTTACGGATCTGGCTACCCATCAATATACGGCGGTAGGTTACTCGGTCAATAGCCCAAAGCTTTACATCAGTTCGCGACTATGAGGCAGAAACAAAAATAAACATTTGCATGATTTTCAAGCAGCAAACTTCAGCTAGAGCCCTAAATCCACTGCAATGCAAAATGCAGAGTGATCAGTGGCCATGGTTGTAGATTATAGTGGGATTAATTTCCTACAACATTCTTTCTTTTCTTCAAACCGAAAAAAAATTTGAGGAAAACGTTGCTTAAATTTCACACATCATAAGATAAGAATAAAACAAAACATAAAGAGATTGGAATTTAAATTGACTGGAGGGCCTTTTCTAAACAGTGAGTAATATGAGAAGGGGCACAGATTTACAATAAAAAAACAGCCAACTAAATTGGTTGGTAGAATAACCAAGGAAACAAAGGAATTTTTGATGGCCAGCTTAGCCAAGGGTAAAAGTTCACAGATACCTTGACTGATTACAGTATCATTCCTTTTTACTTTCCATGTGGCCATTTGCTACTAAACAATACTTCTGCTGTGCAACCCTGCTAATTTTTATAACTGTCATAATAATAATAAAAAAAAACAAATAACAAAAACAGTCAATCCAGTGTTCCCACCTTTATGGTAGCTGCTCTTGGTGTGCCATAAATTAAGGCTAATTCACCAAAACTGCCTCCTTCTCCAATGGTAGACACATATTCATCACTGACAAACACCTAGGAAATGCACAATAAAAAAATAATAAGTTTTAGTCCTGAACAATTCTGGGATTACCTTCTTGAGTACTTCCACTTTATCAATGATACCCCCCCCCCTTTCCTTGAGAATTTGAAAGCTGCAGGGTATAAAACTTGAGTATCCATGTTTTAGATTAAATTGGAACTCTATCAATTAATGTTGTCACATGAGGTCTGTCTCTCATTTCGTCCCCTAACACCTAAAATGTTGTTTTATGACCATCAGAAATTCTACAACATTTCACATTGTGTTGGTTGACCATACTTGCCACTTTTCTCTTCATTTTTTCCCTTTTTCGATGCAAATGTTAACTGGCTGATGATAAACAATCAGAAAAGCTATCCCTGGATATCATTTAGGGATACTTAATCCTTCCCAAGTTAATAAACAAACAATTTTCATGAAACGTTTTGCTGAGAGATGTCTTCTCTTATAAGTCCTTATGATAAAATACACATTTAAAAAGAAGTATCCAATTTCGTGAGCGATAAAACTAGGTCGTCAAAAGTTATGAGAATTTTGTAGAGTCCTACTAAGGTGGTTATGAGTTTAGATGACTACTTAACATTGTGTAAATAGACAACAAGAACATTTACATCGACTTCACCACTGTCAATGATGTAAAAGTTATCGCCTTCGTCCCCTGAAACAGAAAAAAAGTATATCTCATGGCCTTGAAACTTAAAATGCCGTGTTACACATTACTTTGAGCACGGAATGGGAGAGAACTCAAACAATATCGTCGCTTTTTTTCAAGAAAAAAAAAAGTTCATTAGTCTCGTTTAGCTTGAGAAATTTTTGCTCTGAGCTGTAGAAAGAAGGGTAACGACAATAATCGAACTGCCCTAATTAGACAAACAGTCCTAGTCTGCAGGTAGAAACACAATTTTCGAACACACAATGAAGGAGTGAATTTTGGTGATCCGATGATACCGGTGTAAATTTGAGAAATCAAAGCGTTTTCCACCCTTACCTTGCTGAATAACAATCTCCCCTGCACTGTGTTTAACCAGAGACATTGCATCGAAAATATCGCTGAAGAAAAAATAACATTGATTTACACTCTGAACATAAAAATTTCCTTAAATCGAAAAACTACAGTCCCAGTTGAAATGAATCCTTCTCGCTAACCTCCTTTCATTTTCGTCCAGGTGAGAAAATAGGATATTCTTCGCGATTGCCTTCGACAGGGCGGCCATAGTTTTGTAGTCTTTCGGTACGACCTATATCAAAATATAATCAAGAAATGGCCGCGTCAGTTGTCGCGATTCTCATCAAAACCAGTTCACGAACTAAAAAATCCTCAAGACCTTCGAAAGATATTACCTTTTTCACGTAAGACGTGGCTTCGTCTTCAGTAATAGGTCCAGCACTAACAGCTCCGCGGCGTTTTCTGGGAACGCCAACAGGACCTGGATGATCTTCAATTTCTAGTTTTTCTTCGGGTTCGCCACGTTCCTGCGAGTCTGCTTCGTGCTCCTGGAAAATAGTTTCAAGACACCTTGTTCAGTCAAGGATCAAAATTTCTCGTCATATTGATTTACATTCCGAAAATCGTAGAGGACACCCGGCATAAAAAATAACAAGACGGTAGAACAAAGCTTCGATGGGGAGCTAAATAGAAAATACCTTTTCCAGCTTTTCGAAATACTCCCGAAAAAACTTGTGAGGGTTGTCTGGCTTCTTGATACATAATTGCACGATACAGTCTTTAAGAATAGCTTGGATATTATGTTTTTCCACATAGACTTCGCACTGCCTAAGAGCTTCGACATCACCATCCTGCTTTTTAGACGCCATTTTGCTCGCAAATGTCGATCGGAGAAGAACTGACGTGACGTCATAGCTACTTATCCAATATCAGCCATGCTATGACGTAAATGTGACGTTAAAAAAGAAATGCGTGGGTACCAGCAGTCAAATAGTTAGATCGACACTTAAACCACGAGACGGTTTTACATCAGCAATCATTCACCAAAACTCTACAACTAGCTCTGCCTTGAGCGCCGAAAACAGCGCTAACTTTACAGAACGTAGAAAATTAAATTGTACACATGATGAATTCACACCGCTTTAATTCTGCCAGTGGAGAAACTGCAAATGTAATGCGAACCGTTTCCAAATTCAGAATAATGATAATAATTGGGCGCTTTATCGCCCCCGCATTCTCGCAATAATTAATTTTTAATTCATAAAAATATAAAACCTCTAGTACCTATTTACGTCGATCTATTACGTCTGTTTACACAGCTTTGTCTCATTTTGTTCTGTGTAATTCAAATTCGAGTTAAAATTAGTCACGTCTATTTTCTTACCAGGAGCACAACGGATTGTATTTCTCCTCTTACGATTTTCTTCCTTCAGCAAAGTTGACACCTCACATTTTTCCAGATATGTTGTATTTTTTCAGCACATCTTTTTTTCGTCGTAATAGGATATGCTTTAACACGTACCAACTCAACCACTGTTTTTAAGCTAACAAAAACTAATTCAAACCGTTTTTGTTTCTTACTCGATTCTTTTTAAGATAATGAAAATAATTCAAACCGTTTTTTTTTCCTCACGCGATTCGACGTACCAAGACTATTCTTATTACACCTCAAAATAGTAAAATTTCAAAGGCATATTCCTTGAGATGGCCTTATCCGTCTTACCTTCAAACTGGCTTAACTTAGAAGATGTATTTTT